AGCCCCCAGAATGTGCCTCCACCACTATGCCTTTAGATAGAGAACAGTGTTTTATAAGAGGAACTAATCACTGATGGTAGGCAGTGTTTCAGACAATGTAACGAGTACTTGTTTTCATGTTGTCAGGACTCAGCAGAGTGTCTGGCACTTAGGAGTCCTCAATTTCTGTTTCTCATGCAATGAATGCATGGATGATTAAATGAGAAATATTTTGGGCATCCTCATCAGATTACATCCCATAAAAATAAATGCCTAACCCCCACGTGCAAGGCTGATTCCTCCTTTTAGTTTATAGCTCTTTCCCCACCCCCTGGTTTAAAAAGTAATGCTTGCTTATTATAAAAACACTCTTGGAGATGTTTCTTCTTTCTATGGTTTTATTTTTTATATTTAACTTTTTAAATTCATCTGGAACTAATTTCCCAATATTACGTATAAAATAATCCATCTCCTACCCTTTTAATGCATGATGTTTATATATATATATATATGCATATATACTAAGTTCTTATGTATAATAAGGTGTATTTCTGAGCTAGCTGTTCTGTTTCATTGCTGTGCCCACCCACTTTGTATGTCAGTATCACCTAGTTATTGGGATTTTATTATATGTTTTAAGGTCTGGTAGGACAGGTATTGCCCCACTATTCCTCCTTCAGCCCCTCTCTCCACCAGTTTATTAAGCACGGGTCCATCTTGCCGCCCACTCTAGTGCTTTTGAGAGCAAAGCTTTCTTTGGCAAAGTCTGGGCACGGAACCAGATCTAGGTTCATAGTCTACATTTGCAGCTTCCTAGCTCAATGCCTCTCAATCTCAGGGATATGTAAACTGGCAATGAAATGTTTAGAGTAGAAACTTATTGTCATAATGAACTGGAATAACATCTAAGAATCATCCAGTACACAGTAGATGGTCAATACCTACCATCTGGAGTGGAGGAGTGACTCTGAAGGCCCAGGCATCTTTGCGTCTATCCCTTCATCCTTATCAGCAGACATGGCAAATCTTTTGAAAACCTCTTGTACAAATGCTGAAGCTTGGATCTGTCAGCCTCAGGCCAGCTTTTAGGCTTAGAGTATCCGGGATTAAGACTTGGCCCAGCCTCTGGGCAGCCTCTTCAGGGTTTGCATTGGTCCAAGGGAAGTCTGGTGGTTGTGCTGAACTAGAGCCATTTCAGAGTGATCTGGGCACTTGGGAAGTGGGTGTGAGTAAAGTGCTGAAATCCACTTTACCTAACCTTAAAGGAAATGCCAGGGAATTAACACCCTTTGCTTCATCCCCAGGGAGCCCATCTCTAGATTGGCAGCCAGAGAAAGGCTTCAGTCTGCAAATTACAGGTGTTGGGGATGGGAAGTCATTCTAGCACAGACAGGTGGTACTGGTGAGGGGAGATGGGTGAGACTCTGACAGCATGTGCTAGACTTTGAAGGTGGAAGGCATGAATTGGATTGCAAGAGCCCCCACAGTACTGAGTTAGTCCTATGCACTTGCCGAGAGGTTTATAAAGGTGACTAGTTATCCTTAGACAAGTACAGGCACTGCAAAGCAAAGGCCTGGGGTGAGTCATAGGGCCCCAGGAGTTTTGAAGGCCAAAACCTTACTTCTTTCCTGGAACTTTCCCTCCAACTCAGAGAGGGTCAGACAGGAATACACTCTTTCATATCTTCAAGAAGCATCCCTGAAGGCCTGCTGTGTGCTCTCAGGAACTAGGATAGGAGGATAGACAGCTGTGACCTCAGAGAGTTTTCATACAACACAGTGAGGAGAAAAAGCGTTACGGCCATCCTCGTGTTTCTGGATTTGCTCTCTGATGATGCCAATGAGGCAGTTTGATTTCCCACTCTAGCTATATCCCTGCATGGCCTTCTGTGAAAGAACAGATCAGATGTTCACAGCTAGAAGTCAAAAGCTGGACTATTGTCTAGTCAAGCCTTTTTCTCTTCTCTTTTTTTTTAATAAAAAATATAGTTTAATCCTACATTTTTATTAATTGAAGTATGGTTGATTTACAATGTTGTGTTAGTTTCAGGTGTATGGAACAGGATTCAGTTATCTATCTATCTATCTATATATATATAAAGTACTTATAAAGTGTGTATATGTGTGTGTATTAGTCACTCAGTCATGTCAAACTCTGTGACCCCATGGACTGTAGCCCACCAGGCTCCTCTGTCCATGGAATTTTCCAGGCAAGAATACTGAAGTAGGTTGTCATTCCCTTCTTCACAGGATCTTCCTGACTCAGGGATTGAACCCAGGTCGCCTGCATTGCAGACAGATTCTTTACTGTCTGAATCACCAGGGAAGCCACATATATATATATTTGCTGTTGATCAGTCACTCAGTCATGTCCCTAAGAGTCCACAACTCTTTATGACCCCATGGACTGCAGCACATCAGGCTTCCCTGTCCTTTGCTATCTCCCGGGGTTTGCTCAAACTCATGTCCATTGAGCTGATGGTGCCATCCAACCATCTCATCCTCTGTTGTCCCCTTCTCTTTATGTCCTCAATCTTTTCCAGAATCAGTGTCTTTTCCAATGAGTCATCTGTTCCCATCAGGTGGCCAATGTTTTGGAGCTTCAGCATCAGCCCTTCAGTGAATATTCAGGTTTGATTTCCTTTATGATTAACTGCTTTGATCTCCTTACTGTCCAAGGGACTCTCAAAAATCTTCTCTAGTATCACAGTTCAAAAGCATCAGTTCTTCAGTGCTCAGCCTTATTTATGGTCCAGCTCTCACATCTGTACATGACTACTGGAAAAACCATAGCTTTGACTATAGGGACCTTTGTCGGCAAAATGATGTCTCTGCTTTTTAACATGCTGTCTAGGTTTGTCATAGTTTTTCTTCTAAGGTGCAACAGTCTTTTAATTTCAAGGCCACAGTTACTATCCGCAGTGATTTTGGAGTCCAAGAAAACAAAGTCTGTCACTTTCCATTTTTTCCCCATCTATTTGACATGAAGTGTGGGGGCCAGATGCCATGACCTAGTTTTTTGAATGTTGAGTTTTAAGCCAGCTTTCTCACTCTCCTCTTTCACTTTCATCAAGAGGTTCTTTAGTTCCTCTTCACTTTCTGCCATTAAGGTGGTGTCATCTGTATATCTGAGGTTACTGATATTTCTCCCAGCAATCTTAATTCCAGCTTGAGCTTCATCCATCCTGGCATTTTACATGATGTACTCTCATATAAGTTAAATAAGCAGAGTGACAATATACAGCCTTGATGTACTTCTTTCCCAATTTTGAACCAGTTTGTTGTTCCATGTCCAGTTCTAACTGTTGCTTCTTATCCCACATACAGGTTTCTCAGGAGGCCAATAAGGTGGTCTGGTATTCCTGTCTCTTTAAGAATTTTCCACAGCTTGTTGTGATCCATACAGTCAAAGGCTCTAGCGTAGTCAATGAAGCAGAAGTAGATGTTTTTCTGGAATTACTTTGCTTTTTCTATGATCCACCAGATGTTGGCAATTTGATCTCTGATTCCTCTGCCTTTTCTAAATCCAGTTGGTACATCTGGAAATTCTTGGTTCACATACTTTTGAAGCCTCATCTGAAGGATTTTGAGCATTACCTTGCTAGCGTGTGAAATGAGTGCAATTGTGCAGTAGATTGAGCATTCTTTGGCATTGCCTTTCTTTGGGATTGGAATGAAAACTGACCTTGGCCAGTCCTGTGGCCACTGCTGAGTTTTCCAAATTTGCTGGCATATTGAGTGCAGCACTTTCATAGCATCATCTTTTAGGATTTGAAATAGCTCAGCTATTTGATATATATGTGTATGTGTATATATATGTATATATATAATTTTTCAGATTCTTTTCTCTTATAAGTTGTTACAAAATATTGAGTACAGTTCCCTGTGCTATACAGTAGGTCCTTATTGCTCATCTGTTTTACATATAGTAGTGTGTATATGTTAATCCCAAACTCCTCATCTGTCCCTCCACCCTCCCCGTTCCCCTTTGGTAACCATAAGCTTGTTTTCTATGTCTGTGGGTCTATTTCTGTTTTTTAAATAAGTTAATTTGTGTTTATTTTTTATATACTTTATATATAATTTTATATATTTTATTTTTTATATATAAGTGATATATTTGTCTTTCTCTGACTTACTTCACTTTGTATGATAATACCCACATCCATCCACATTGCTGCTAATGTCATGATTTCATTCTTTTTTATGATGGAGTAATATTCCACTATGTACATATACCACATCTTTATCCATTTACCTGTCAGTGGACATTTAGGTTGCTTCCATGTCTTGGTTCTTGTTAATAGTGCTTTTGTGAACATTGGGGTGACTGTTTCTTTTCAAATTATGGTTTTCTCTGGATATATGCCCAGGAGTGGAATTGATGAATGATATGATAACTCAATTTTTTGTTTTATAAGGCACCTCCATACTGTTCTCCCTAGTAAGCCTCTTTATTTTCTTTAAGAGATAACCAAACTTAGAGAAAGGTGGTGATTTGCTCAAGTTAATCCAGCTTTGTAACAGTGATGGGACTTCACTATTCTGCCCACAATTCATCATCAGAAAAGTGGGATTTCTCTTTGCTTTACATCAAGCCTTTAGAGGCAGCACACAGTCTATGAGTCTATCACTGGAACACAGTGAACATTCACATTTTTGAGAGAGGAAGACAAATGTGGATGGTGTCAAGTTTACATAGGAAACAAAGAAGCAACACAGTGTAAGAGTTAGACCACCTGAGGTCAAAATTCTGGTTTCTTCACTTAAAAGCTGCATGAACTTAAGCAGCTTTCTTCATTTCACTATACCTTATCTTCTTATCTGCAAAATGAACATGATGGTGTTGCCCACTGGATTGTTTTAGGAATTACAACGCTTAGCTCAAGGCCTAGAATGAAGGTGTATCACTAGGATGAAGGGTTTCTAGAAGGGTCCCTGCCCGGGGAGGGTTGATGTTCCCAGGCCCACGGGGTCGGCCCATGGTGTGCGACTGACATCTCCATGTGGCCCCTTTCCAGTTCCAGGAGCCCTGGAGGAGCGGCACAGAGTGGGAGAGTGTGGCGAGAGAATGAAGACACCAACCGCCCGGGAGAAGCATGAGGTGGCAGTGCAGTGCTCGGCTTAGAGGGCTTCGGCCGGCGGCGGCGGCCCCGTGGGCAACTCTGCTGGCACTAGGCCTCCCCGGTTGGGTGCTGGCTGTCTCGGCCACGGCGGCCGCTGTGGTCCCCGAGCATCATGCCTCCACGGCCGGCCAGCCGCCCCTGGACTGGCTTCTCACCGATCGGGGCCCCTTCCACCGCGCGCAGGAGTACACGGACTTCGTGGAGCGCTACCGCCAGGGTTTCACCACCAGGTACAGGATCTACAGGTGAGTGGGGCTCCCCTCCGAAGCCAGCCTGGGTCTGCACGGGTGCCAACCGCGAAGCCAGCTGGCAGACCGCAGATTGCACTAGGAGAGAGCTGGAGGAGTAGCAGGCAGGGGGAACAAGCTTGCCATGTTTTTTTTTTTTTTAAAGCAAGAAGAAAACACATACAAGCTGGAAAACCTGCTGATGCCTCCTGGGGAACTTAGCAAAAGGGTTTCTATTTATAGGTTGTGCTGCTTATAAATTGAGGACAAATCAGGCGGCATGGAGTCAGCATGTGGCCCGTGCTGCTGCAGGAGGTCAGAGTCAAATGCTGGGGACAGGTTTTAACTAATGGGTGAGATGCGTTTATGAGTTGTAATTACCTAGACTTGCAAATGAAGGCAGGGCAGCTCCAGTTCCTGCCTGAGAAGTGGGGGGAGCCCCACAGAGGCAGGGAGGGGCCTGCGCTCACCCTCGTCAACACCACAGCCTCCGCTGGCCTTGTGCGAGGAAAGGCGCTGTGTCTTCCTGCCCTCTGTCTGAATGGCCCTCAGGAGCATCAGAGCTGAAAGTCAAGCACGTGACCTACCTGGGCCATCCGACTAGGCACGAATTCCCGGCTGCTGGAGCAGCCCTTCAAAAGCACAAGGCTCCTCGAAACCCTCACCTTGGGTGACTCAGCGAACCTCAGCGCTCTCTGGAGTGTATCCCTGAATTCAACCTTGCCCTTCATCACTGGGCTCAGTCTCTCCCTTAGTTCAACCCCTTTTCCTCTTTACACTGACCTCTTCACATTCAGATAACTCTAGGAGCTTTGCTAGAATTTTTTTTTTTAATTAAAGACATTTACTTTTCAGTTACAGATTAGTTCCTAATGAAAGGAGTGGAGATGGAATGTGAAAAAACACAAAGAGAAACAGAATCAGAAAATCACCTATTCTTTTGCCAGGTAGAAGTTGCTCTCTGTAACCTGAGTGTATGCATTCTTAGTCTTATGAACATGCTAAAGGTTTCACCCTCTCTCTGGATCTAGCAGTTTATATCTACATGCCTTATGCACGTGAACTCACTTAATCTTTCTAACAATCCTCTGTGGGAAGAACAGTTATTCTCCCTGTTATACAGATGAGAAAATTGAGGTCCAGAGAAGTTAAGGAACTTGTCCAGGGGCACACAGCTGGTAAATGGAGATTGTATGGTATGTGCTTTCCATATAAGAAAGGAGGTGAACTGTGATGGGAGAAGAATAAGACTTTCCAGTGGGGTTAGAGTACTTGGTGCAGAATTTCACAAAGCTCTCTCTCACAGCAGAAGAGAGGCCCTTCTCTTCTAGCTGTTTGTGAGCACATCCTAACAATTACACAAGCAGGTTCTAACATTAAACTCCAAATCCTACCTCTTCTTCTCATTTTTCCATTCTTATTTGAAAATCAGAGTGTTCTCTCACTTGGAGGAGATGACTGGTTGTTCTAAAATAGCTCTGGCCTGTCTAACCGTGGGTCCCCAGAGATTTTGCTCTCTCCATTTAGGTTTATATTCATGTAGGCACAGGTGCTTCAAAGTGAAGGTTCTGGAGCCAAATGACCTGAACTCTAATCCTGGAGCTGCAGCTTACTAGTTTTATAATGTTGGGGTAATTATTTAATTTCTTTGTTCCCCACTTTTTTTATTTGTAAAATTGGGACAATTATAGTGCCCACCTCTAATGGACTGATGTGAAAATTAAAAGAGTTGATTGATGTAAAACACTTAGAATAGTGCTTAATAAATAATACCTATTATTAGAGTATCACTCAATAAATATTAGCCAATGGAAAAGTTATAATGAGATGAGAGCCATGGGTACTGTCTTTGTGATAACATCTGCTGAGGACTTAGCATCTGACAACTTATATTAGAAGGAGAAGAAAATGTTCTCTTGTTTTTTATTTTTTTTAATAAATAGAGAAGTGTTTCATGCTTCTCTGTTTTTTTAACTAATTTATTTATTTGCGGCCCTATCCCACAGCATGCAGAACTTCCCTAACCAGGGATCAAACCTCTGCCCCCTCCATCACAAGCACAGAGTCCCAAGGAGTGGGATCACCAGGGAAGTCCCTCTTGCTTTCTTTTTTAAAGTGTATTAACCTGAATTCCTTCTCTCTGTCTCAACTGGAGAATGAATGAATCTTCTCTGGGGCACACTCTTGCTGGTCTTATGGACTACCAGAAGGAGCCAGCTTATTTCCAGCCTGTTTTAGAGTCACCACAGAGAATGACCTTTCTTCTAAAGTCAGGGATAGCCAACCGAGCAGGCCTGCCTTGAGATGTCCTACAGAAGGGAGTCAGTGGTCCCTGCCAGCTCCCTGGTCCCAGGGCTAACATGAACAGTCTCAGGATGGCACCATGATGAGAAAAGAGACGAAATACACCCTTGTGAAAACTTTCTAAATAACAGGATGGGGCTTGGCCATCTTACTCAATTTTTGGTCAGCTTTTAAATTCCATTAGCCGACCTCAGAGCAACTCCTCAAGACCTGTCAGACCAAGATCTGAGTGATCAGCCACTTCTCAGACACTGTCTCTTAACAGGCTAGTGGTGAGAGCTGTGAGAGCAGAGATCCTGTCTCTAATTCCATCTGTGACCCCTGAATGCCCACATTTGCGCCACTCTTTAGCCCTCAGTACAATGAACATTTAAGTGATCTGCCTCTCACACCAGCCCTGTGAGGCAGGTGGGGACTCTTAGGGTTCAAAGCAGTGAGTTGGACTTGTTCAAGGTCAGAGGGGTAGCCAGTCACAGCCAGAAGTAACACTCAGGGCTCCTGACTTGAAGTCTCCTGCTCATAACTCTAGACCACGCCACTTCCCTTTGACTGGTAAATGCATCTTCTTCATAATGCGCAACCTAATCAGGCACCTAAATTGAGCTGATGCAAATGTAAATATGGTTTCTTGAAACACTCTAGCGGTAATGTTCCATTCTCTCTTTGCTACAAATCAAAGTAATGAGCAGTCTGGTTTTTTTTTTTTTTTAATTTCTTTTTGTATTAAGGCTTTAATAGAGAGATAATCATGGGATTGGAAAAAATCCAAACCGCTATGATGAAACACTTATAACTCGGAAAGAATAAATTAAAATGAAGAGAGAAAGTTAGAAATAGTATAGAACAATGAGTGTGATATGGTGGTTGGAAGAAAAAAGCAAGGCCGGGTATAATTCCAAATTATTGACCTTAGTCATTAATGCCTCCATTTCTGTCTGTCTTTTAGAAAAGAAGGGTCTGGGGATGTGTTAGAAGTCTTTTGAGAGGACAACAAATAAAAAATTAATAGATATTTTAAAAAAGACCTTTATATTTTTATCATATTCTGGGCAGAGTTTGCAAATTTTGAGAACCAAAGTAGAACAAAGCTTAAAACTAAGAGGTTGGAGTGGTACCCAAAGGTAGGCAGTGTAGAAACAGAAATGTGTTTTAGCAGGTGCATCTGGAAACATCCAATAGGACAAACTGGGATAGAATCAGATGGTGTGTTGAATGAGGTCCATTAAAAGAACCTTTCCACAGGCACCAGAGCAGTTATCGTAAGGAAAGATAATCTGCTTATGATTCATTAGGATGTAAAACAAGGGTTGGCAATAGCTTACCTGAGAAGGAAGTGAGATACAGGAAAAACCAAATATTTTGTCCATGCTGCTCCTTGTGTGGTCTGTGGACCAATAGCGTTGGCATTACCTGAGAGCTTGTGAAAATTGCAGACCCTGAAGCCTTGTCCCAACCTACAAAATCAGAATATGCATTTTAGCAAGAGCCCCACATGAACTGTATAGCATTAAAGCTTGATTAGACTAAGTGCTTGGGAGATGGAGAGGAGAGTGGAGTGGCCAGGGTGGGGAAGGACAGAAGGCTTCATGGTAAGGCAGCATCCTCCATGATGCACTTGAGGTAGTGAGAATATTTACAGGAGATGCTACAAATAGAGTAGTCGTCATGGGAAATTGAATTTAGGAATTATTAGTGCCAAGGCACATAAACTCATAAGAATAGATCCAGGCAGCTGGGGGAAAAGATGTTTAAAAGCAGAAAAGGCTGGAGGGCCTAGAACCAGCCTGTGGGTGCCTTGTGGGAGATGGAGAGGTGGGGAAGCAGAGAGCAGCTGTGGAAGCCATCAGACAGGGAGCACCAGAGCTGATTTATCATCCAGACCACATCTCACGGACTAACAAACACTGATTTGAATAAACAGCAAACCCTGGGAGAGGCACCATTTCCAATTAAGAGATCACAATCCACATAAATAAACGGCAACCTCAGTCTGCCTGGGTAAATCCCAGTGATTTCCTAGGTGTTCATTACGGCTGCAGAGGTAGAGAAAGGTTGTGTTATCACGCAGCTGCGGGGCACCACAAGGGAAGCCCTGGTTCTCAGGCGGATGGGACAGGCAGGGAAGGAGGTGAGTTCTGCCAGAAACACTACCATCACCTGCGCCAACTGGTTGATCTCTGCCCTTCTCACTGGGTTCCTATTTTGGCGAGGGAGTTTCTTGAGATGGAAGGAGAAGAAGAAATAGTACAAGAACTAGAGCAAAACAAAGCAAAACCAGAGGCATTGCAGAACGATGAGCCTAGAGACTCATCACAGGTACTCTTTCTTGGTCCATAGAGGTGAGGAGGTGGGAGGGGAACAGAATGAACCGTCTATAATCTACTTTCCTCAAGAGTTCATTGCTGGCTAAATGTACAGCTCAGTATCTGACATAGACTATCTCATCTAGGCTGTAGACCCAGCCCAAGGACTTCACCCAAGGAATTTTCTTCCAGAAGTGTCTGGAGGTTGAGCCCTACAAGGGCATACAGGCCCTGGAATCAGGCCTTGCAGACCCTCATCCTTGGACAGCATCTCCTCTCCATCTTAACATGGCAACATCTGGGACCAGTGGAGCCGACCTATGTGAAGGAGGAAATGTATTGCCCACTTGGAGAAAGGAGAAAGCACATAAACAGACAAAGGCGATTCAAGAGCGTGAGAAGAGCAATATC